CCCTTTGGCCCCTTTCACAAGTGGTGAGACCATGGGAAGGAGGACCCACGTTTCCTCTTTGGGCTGTGCCCGGCTGGGTTCTATAGATGAAAGCCCGTCCACCAGGCGCTTGCCAAGGTGCCCCACCTCCAGGCCTGGCTCCAGAGGGCGGGCTCCGGTGACCCGCGTCCAGGCAAGGGAACACTGTTTCCATTTGAAGTAATCATCATAACGGGCCTTTGGGCACCTTGTCTAATCCCTCACCTAGGACCTGTTTTCCATGGGTGACCCTACCAGAGGCAGAAAGCCTCAGACGACTTAGCTCCTAGGATCACTGGGACGCTCAACCCCATCACCATGGTGAGGTGGAAGCCCAGGGAGAGGCTGCCACATTTATGTTTTCTGCCTAATTTAGTTACTAATTATTGAACACCTTCTGTAAATCCTACAAACTTTGTTTAACTTCTCCAATATCACTGTGTGTGTCCTATATGATATATTTAACTGAGGTGTTTTATCAGGACTTTGCTGAAACTGGAAATACACTGAGCTGATTTTCCTTTGGTGCAAGAATCTTTGAGGTCAGGGTGAGTTTTTCTTCGTGTAATTTACAGGAAGTACTAAGAAGCGATCAACACCTCACCAGCAGCTTGGGATCAGTAATCGTGCAGTTGCATGAATATTAAACATGTCTGATGTTTTGCTGGTCCTTCATGAAGAATCACACTGTTGAGGGAACACTCCAACCCAGATGTTCTACAACCACTAACAGCACATGTGGCAACATGGCTGCCCAAGTATTTCTGTGTCCACGTCGTCTCACACACAATGACAAAGATGGTCAAGAAAGCGTGTTTGCCATATTTATATTGTAGCAAAGACGTTCCTACATTTAATTAGAAACCATAAAATGTGAAATATCACCTTAATGAACCTTTAAGTAAATTTAATCAGAAGATCGGATCTTTTTATTGCAGGGATTGAGCAACTTCAAGAAAAGAGAGTGAGTCAGGTTTAAAAGTTTAAAGATTTATTACTAAACAAATTAAACTAGACTAACTTTAACGCTAGGTGTATGATGTAACTAAGGTGAGGTAAGACTGAGAATGGTGTATGTGTGAATATGTTCAGAACCAGCAGATCTGGAGAAACGATTATTTCTGATGGGAGTGAAGAGGATGTTTCACGCTAGGCTTGGTTTGGGAGATTCATAACACACATTGAGACGCCATTCTGCCGGCCTACGTACCCTTTGCGGAAGTCCCCGTTAGATCAGGAATGTCGAGGTCCAGCTTGACCCTCTCTGGAACCGAAGCCGTTAGGAAAAGCAGCGATTGCCGACTAGACCAGTCTTTGAGATACTTCCGGGTCACGACAGTTTATTGGCATCTAGTGAGACCCAAAACGGGGTCGTGATGGTTCAGCTTTTATTCTGAAAGGAACCGTTGCAGCAGGTGGAACAGCAACAGATTTTATCCAGCTTGTCGTTGGTTCTTTCGGCTGAAGAGGAAAGTTACGGATTGGCCACTCCGACAACTTCTCTAGAACGCTTTGAACTGGCGTTAAAGATGACGTGGGCATAGTTTTATACTTCGAATGTTTTGGTTTATGGTCGAATGAAAAGATGACAGATTTACCAAACACCACGTAAACCACGCCTCCGTCAGATCTGGAAGGTTCTGAATGGATCAGTAAAAGCAATGTGTCATGTGACTTTTTAAGCATTACGTGTGATCAGTCTCTAGTGGAAACATTTGAAGTTATATTACTTATTATATTCTATAGGATTATAATACCAAGTAATTAATAGTTTCATTTCACAGATTGGTTCACATTTATTATTGACTAACACTTTGTTTGATTAGCTTATTAAAAATAGAGTTCTTCGATTTATTAAAAGAAAGAGTTCTTTGTCTCCATTCTTCTCTTGGGCTGGAAGGGAAACCGTTTCGAAGCAGATGCATGAGACCTTGAGCAATATCTCATGCAGACTAGTTCTGTGTCAGAGGCATCTGAGGAGAGAGGGTAAATAGCCTTCGGTGGAATAGCTCCGTCGTCACGTTACAATATCAAATAAAACACATCCCAACATATTGTTTGACTTTGTCTTCCTTCTCCAATCCCCATAAGCCCTTGCAACTATGGCAAGCCTGAAGGACACCAGATGGACGACACAACATTCCTGTGGTTTTCAGACTTGAACATCTGACCTTCTGCAGTAACTTTTTAGCACATTTTATGTCCGATGTGTTTCTATCACACGTACAGTGTTAGCAGTCAGGTCACGTCCGAGCATTGGGTCGTACAGTGTGAGAACCTGACTCGTGTGCTTTGCTCTGCCAGGAAGTCACACAGTTTCAGAGGAAGGTGACAGCCACTAGTGAAAAAGTGGCTCATCTTCTGCAGTGATTGATGCCACCATTAAGCGTCTATACACATTAGTATCATTAGAAAGTGTGTTCTGTCGAAGTACGCTGTAATTTAGGGGAAAAAAAGAAAGAAACAGTCTTTTTTACAGTTACATTCTAGATAATAATCACGAGGCGCCCTAATCCATTCAGTGGACTGGGAGAGTTGCTGTGTGATGTAAAATGTGGCATTCAATGACCAGAAAAAGGTCAGTTTTTATGGCGCTCTGTGAGACAACAAATGCCAGTGAATTACTTAGTTGTGGGGGAACCGCGCTGCGTTGTTCGGTGTTGGGAGTTTAGTAACGGTAATTTTAAAGCAGCAGAATGGTCCGTGTGTTCTTTTCCTTCCATTCTGCTTCACCAGCAACTCTTCCAACTTTACAAATACCAGTTCTTTAGGCGACATCTGCCGATGTCATTTCCTGTTTGAGTTACAACCAAAAGTTCTGCTCAGCCACTCTACTGGGCCTTTCCCAGTACCTTCCCCAGCTCAGGTAAAGTGTTGCTTTCGTTCGGCGTGCTGAAGTAGAACCGCTCACGCTGTAAAGTTTTGGTAAAGTTTCTCTGACGTTCTGATGGTAGAAAGATCCCTATTAGTGAGTCTGTTAGAGGAAATTTAGTGTTTAATGAGAGACAGCTGGTGAAAACAATGAGTAAATTATTCAGATTGCATGTAAGAACACACAATTAAGCAAATCTGACACATTTGTATTAAATATATTAGTGATATATGCCGTAGAACAGTCCAGCGTGGTTTTTAATGAAGACTGTACTCATTAGTTTTTTCACCTTTGTAAATTTAAAAGTAAAAAAAAAAACTTTAGAAAACTGTAAAAGTTAGCTGGTGAAAGGTCACATCAACAATTGGAAATTAAAAGTATGCACTAAACCCAAAGCACCACAGTTGGTTGACTAAAATCAGTTGTGAAAAATAACGCCTGGGCCAGGCAACATGGTCGAGTGGTATGGTGGTGAAAGCTGGTACCTCCCTGTGCTCTGACTGTTGGTGGCTAGTTTATGATGACATTCTTCAGATTTGTGTTGTGTTGTGTTCCTCACCACATGTCAATGGGCGTGGAGTATTCCGTGGATCCTAGCAGAACATCAGGGGGTCGATACCAAAGGGTCACCACCTCATTTGAGTAGGTCTTGGTGGGGACGGACTTGGCTCGTGCCAGGCCTGTACAGCACAGAGTTGTAGGAGTTTCCTTATTTTATCAATCAATCAATCAATAAATCAATCAATCAATCAATCAAAGCTTCATTTATAAAGCGCCGCCTTCAGAGTTTCCTGCCGGGAAGCCCAAGGCGCTGAACATGGTACATGAGAAAGTTAAATATGGTGAATAAATCGAAAATAAAAGCAATTCAAATATTACAAAAAAAGGTAAAACATTCTAGTAGAAGGGTAAAACAAGGGAGAGAGTGAACCAATGAAAACAGGGAAATAAAATCAACATAAAAGAGGGCCAAATTCAAACACGTTCAGGAAACGCCAAGCGGAGGAGGTGGGTTTTTAGGCAACTCTTAAAGACTGGCAGGGATGGGAACAGCCTAACTGAGGGTGGCAACTGGTTCCAGAGTGACGGTGCTAGGACTGAGAAAGCCCGGTCCCCACGGGTACGACACCTAGACTGAGGGACAGCGAGCAGGCCTTGGTCAGAGGAGCGCAGAGCGCGTGATGGGGAATACCCAGGGAGGACCACCACCCTGGAAGAAATGATAAACAAAGACGAGGAGTCTGAAGTGTGACCGGAAGCTAGTTCAGGCAAGCCAGAACTGGACTGATGTGGTCCCGTTTCCTGGTCCCAGTCAGGAACCTGGCAGCGCTGTTCTGCACAACCTGTAGGCGACGCAGTGATGACAGACACAACCCTGCATAGAGAGAGTTGCAGTAGTCAAGACTAGAAATTACAAAAGCATGCAGTACCCGCTCCAGGTGGGCTCTCGACAGCATATGCTTGATTTTAGCAAGGCGTCTCAGGTGAAAGAAACTGGACCGGATCACAGAGTTGATGTGAGCATCAAATTTAAGTCCAGCATCAAGTTTCACCCCCAAACTGGTGACAACTGGTTATGAGTAGGGAGAAAGAGGGCCAAGATCAACATAACGACCCACATTCCTGCTGTTGGGGTGAAAAACAATGAGCTCTGTCTTTCCCTCATTCAGATGCAGAACGTCGGCCATTAGCCAAGACCTCACCTCGTTAAGACAGGACACAAAGGACTGGATAGAGTGACCTTTTTCCTGACACAATGGAGAGTAAATCTGGCAATCGTCAGCATACAGATGGAATGATAGGCCATGTTTACGAAAGATTGACCCCAGAGGTAGCAGATAAATGGCAAACAAAAGAGGACCAAGGATCGATCCCTGCGGGACCCCCCAACGGAGCCCCTCCCAACAAGAAAAAACATCACCCAGTTTAACACAGAATGTCCTGTTTTGGAGATACGATCTAAACCAGTCCAGAGCTGACCCTTTGATCCCAACCCATCGTTCCAAGCGATCCAGTAGAATCGCGTGGTCAACTGTGTCGAAGGCTGCTGTCAGGTCTAACAACAGAAGCAGCACAGATGTACCCTGATCTAGTGATAGATAGATGTCATTTAGGACCCTCAGTAGAGCAGACTCTGTGCTATGGCCAGACCTGAACCCTGATTGGAAAACCTCAAACAGATCAGAGTCAGCTAAATGTGAGACCAGCTGCTGATAAACGACTTTCTCAAGCAGTTTAGATGTAAAGGGCAGGGTAGAGATAGGCCTGTAATTTTCTATCACAGAGACATCAGCACCAGGTTTCTTCAGGGTCGGCCGAATAACTGCTGCTTTCAAAGCTGCTGGGACCACACCTGTGCTGAGGCTCCCATTGATAATCTGACCAAGTGATGGGCCAAGGCACGGAAAGGCAGCCTTCCAGAGACGAGGCGGCAGAACGTCAAGTGGAGAGCCAGATGGCTTCTGCCTCGCAACTAGCTTACTCAGCTCAGAGTATGAAACAGTATTGAGGGAGCTCAGGGTGGGTGGAGATGAAGAAGAAGAAGAAGAAGAAGAAGAAGAAGAAGAAGAAGAAGAAGAAGAAGAAGAAGAAGAAGAAGAAGAAGAAGAAGAAGAAGAAGAAGAAGAAGAAGAAGAAGAAGAAGAAGAAGAAGAAGAAGAAGAAGAAGAAGAATAAGAAAATATAATTTCTATTGCGCCTCTCAAGATAAAAATCACGAGGCGTTTCACAAAAGCAAAAAAAGTAAAAATATAAAAAAGCATTTAGAAAATGTTTAAAAATGTATTTTAAATGAGCAAAAATAGGCAATTGGGATTTAAAAGAAAAAATATTAAGAAAGAGAGAGAGTGAACAGGAAAGAGGGAAACCAGTGGATCCTGAGGAAGGTGGAATAGGTGGGAGAGCAGAATAAAGAGAGAGAGGTGAAGAAGGTCATACAAAAGCCAGCTTGAACAAGTGAGTCTTCAGCTGCTTTTTAAAGGAGACCACTGAGTCCACTGACCTCAGGCTCAGGGGGAGAGAGGTCCAGAGTCTGGGGGCCGCAGCAGCAGATGATCCGTTACCTTTGACCTTTAGCCTGGTGCTGCACAACCAGTAGGCTTTGATCACTGGACCTCAGGGACCTGCTGGGGGTGTAGGGACTAAGAAGATCACCAATGTAAGATGGTGCTTGTCCATGTAAGGCCCCATAGACCAGAACCAGGATCTTGAAATGAACCCTGAAGTTGACTGGCAGCCAGTGAAGCTGGAGGAGAAGCGGGGTGACTCAGCTTAGCAACGTTCCTGAGATGGAAGAAGGAAGAGTGAACAAGAGAACTGACATGAGAATCCAGGGTGAGGGCTGGGTCAAAGGTCACGCCAAGATTCCTGACAGAAGGTTTGGTGTGGGAAGCAAGCTGACCAAGAGAGTCTCTGACTTTGGGAACCAGCTTGTCTGGGGCACAGATGAGGATCTCAGTCTTATCTTCATTCAGCTGAAGAAAGCTCCCACCATCCAGGTTCTGATGGAGTCTAAGCAGGTGTGGAACAGCTGCAGCTTAGACATCTCATGGGGCTTAAAGGAGATGTACAGTTGGATGTCATCTGCATAAAGATGGTAGGAGATTCCTTTGAAGGAGCTCAGGATGTGCTGAAGAAGAAGCAGATAGAGGAGGAAGAGTAGAGGCCCCAGCACAGAACCTTGTGGGACACCATGGGTAAGAGAGGAGGAACTGGAACTGGGTCAACAGTTAGCTGCTCTAATGCCTGATACTTTATGAACAAAGAATTTGTGAAAAGCTTCAGAGTTTCCAGCAGCTGTAGGAGACATGGAGCTAGGCTCCTGATACACCAGAACAGAGTTTAGTGTTTTGTAGAGAATCTTGGGATTTTTGGAGTTTGTCTCAATGATGTCTGCAAAATAGGCCGTTCTGGCAGCCCTCACTGCATCCTGATAAGCAACAAGAGATGCTCTGAACAACTCACGCGAGACCTGTAGACCATCCTTTTTCCACTTTCTCTCAGAGGATCTACACGCCCGCCTGCAAGCCCGTGTGACATCAGAGAGCCAAGGCTCCCTCCTAGGCCGAGACTTGCTAAGTTTGAGAGGGGCAACCACGTCCAGGACCTGATTACAAAGTAAATCAAAGTGTTGTGAATAGTGATCAGTGTTAGATGTTATATCTAACAAGTATCAATGTAAAGTTTTTTAAAGATGAAAGAGTAGAAAACTCGTCGGCTGTGTTTAGATAAAGCTATTAAAAATAATCAAGGACGCTGGTGGGTTTATCAGCCTCCTTTATAAAACTGAGAATATAAGCCAGAGGGATACGGTTGCTAGGATACAAGAAGTAAGGCTGCTAAAGCAATCAGGGAAGAAGACCTTCCTGGGGTGATAAAGTAAAGGAACCTTTCATGGTTAGGGACATGCTGGTTTATTCCAAGTGTCTGTCTTTAAACCACACTCACGTGCACGCCTAAGAACACTGCAGACATCTTTCCTACTTACCAAAATCAGCCAGTTTAAGCTCCCCCTTGTCATTGATAAGAAGATTCTGAGGCTTCAGGTCTCTGTGGAGGATTTTTCTTTTGTGACAGTAGGACAGACCACGCAGCAGCTGGAACATAAAAATCTGTGGGCAACAAACATGAAAACAAAATCATGAACAAATACAGATTTTTTAAATATTCAGGGTTTGTGTTTATCACATTTCCACGTGAGGTTATCGTCTGCAGTTCTTACTCTGATACACCACAGCTCTCCATTTTTCTCTCATTTCTGGTGGATGTAACAGAGTAATGTAATTTATTACTTTTCCCTTTGTTGCAACACCGTTACCGTTACTGGGCAGGTAACGTGGCGCGTTACCATAATGTGGTTGAATGAGGCACAGTAGTGTCAGGCTGTCTGAGTGAAACCTGCAACCCCCATCCCACTCCGAGGCGCTCGCAAATGGCAAAAATTTACACACACACACACACACACACACACACACACACGCACACACGCACGTGCATGCGCGCGCACACACACACACACACACGCGCACACACACGCACGCGCGCGCGCACACACACACACACGCACGCACGCACACACGCACACACACGCGCGCACACACACGCACACACACACGCACGCGCACACACGTGCGCACACACACGCACGCACACACACGCACGCACACACACGCGCGCACACACACACGCACACACACACACACACACACACGCACGCACACACACACACACACACACACACTAATTTAATCTAATTTACATAGCATGTCCGTGTCTCTTGTAGTATGCTGCCAAGTGTTGGAACCCAAGTTTTTTCCTCTTTTATTGGTTTTTAATGGTCGAAGGTTCAATACTAGACTACTGCCTATGTGTGCATGCATGCACCTCTGTGGTTATTCTTTTTTCTTCAAATTGTTCCCTTAAGTGTTGTACTGTGACAACTATTACATTAATGTGATGGGGTCTGCAGATATTGGTGGGTACCAGTGTTGAGCATCTTACATTAGAAAAGTAATTAGTTAAAGTTACAAATAAGAATAAGAAGAAGAATACCTTTATTAGACCCTCGGTGGGGAAATTACAATATTGCAATGGCTCAGGTACAGCAGAATGGCAGCAGTAACACACAAGATATCACACAAGAGCACATAGTAATAGTAAGTTAAGATAATTATTGCACATGGTAATGAGAGTAGTAGTTATACTGCATATGTTTTGAAAGGATGGTATTTGCAGTGGAAGGTTACAGATGCATGGCTTCTATTAGCAGTAACTATTATAGAGTCTAACAGCAGCAGGGAGGAGAGATCTGCGGTGTCTCCTTCGTACAGCGAGGGTGGACCGGTCTGTTGCTGAAGCTGCTCTCCAGAGCAGACAAGGCATCCTGCAGGGGGTGTGACTCATGGTCCAGGATGGATCTGATGACTTACCAAAAAGTAATTCATTCAGTAACTCAGTTACCCCATTGTAAAAGTAATTATTTACCTAGCAAAGAAAGTCTGACATTATTTTTACGTGAAAGAATAATAAACAGCACTTCAGAAAGGTGAGGAAATGAGTCAAAGCAGGACAGGCAGGGAAAGAGCGGGTGTATGCCAAGCTGTTTTAACATTTAATCAATAATATCTATTTAAAAAAGCAATATTTTCATTTTTCCTACTATTAAATATATTCTTATGAGTCAAAAATTGCAAATGAAGACATCACCAGCTATGTTGTTAATATAGAAATTATAAATAAGGATAAAAACAACTGCAGTAGAAATGAAGTTTGAGCTATGCCAGCCCTACTTCACACTGGAAGTCTCAGCGGCGTGAAACAGCAACGGAATGCCACTGCTTCAGCAGAACCCATTATAGGGGCTGTTTCAGAGCAGCTGAGCCATAAAGATCGGATCAGGTTCTATTTTTGCCGCATGCTGCTTCTGGGACAGGTTAATTTCCACAGTTAGCATAGGACAGGAAATCACACACATTTTCAAAGTAAAAGACCATTACAAGTATGCTATTTCATATCTATGCAGATTACATCAATGTGTGTGAGCAAACGGTTTATCTTCTGTTTGTTGGAGAAGTGCAACGGTGTTTCTTTCATGGCTTTACTCCTGGCACACTAAAGCCGGGCGGACTCTGGCGACTTTTCCACTCGTAGCACTCAGTTTCAGCTCAAACTGTACGACTTTCTCGCAGGGCAGATCTCACGAGCCAGGCGCTCACACTGTACGTCTGCTAGCAACACGTCGGCCCTAAAAATGTGCTAAAAATAGCAGTTTTTACACAACACGTCAGACTTTTTTGTCTTGCCTGTTGTCCTTCGGGAGTGCTGCAGGAGGACACACAGGGATTTATGGGGGTTGGATGAGGAAAACCAAATAAAGAAAGTAAATCTGTGTTTTATGATCAGTTTAATTTGACATGAACACGACCAACACGCTTTCTTGACAATCTTTGTGAGTAAAAAAACGTGTAGAAACAAAGACGAACAACGTGTGTTATTAGGGAAATAGCGAGCGACCGGTGTTGATGCAGGATTGCACATGCGCCGTGAGCGGTTCTGGTGCTTTTTGGGTCGCAGCTGCTCGCTGCGCCGCTTCAACAGTGCGATACCCTCACGAGGGACGAGTGAAATATTAAACACGCCAGAAGTCCGTGCGAGCTCACGATTGCTGATCGGTAGCTGGTCACGTGGTGTTAATCGCCTCTCGTAACCCCCTGTACACTACACGACCGCTCGGCGCTAAACTCGCCCCGATGTCGTAGATTCTCGCACGAGTGGAAAATCGTCTCAAAAATGTGATAAAGTCACACAGTGTACGGCCGTCTTTAAAGGAACAACATCAAACATAACATCAGACAGTGACATCGAACGTGATTCCTTCTTTTTGGTTTAACAGCGGATGGCATAAACCAACCACATGACCTTTGAAGTCTCGAGGGATTTAGTGATCTTGCGAGTTCAGCAAGGAGCACAGCGAGGAAGCCGTTCTGCAGCCCAGACGCTCCCAGTGGGGAATAGTATATGCACTAATCCTGGCAAGTGTGATTTTAACTTTAGATAAAATACTGGCTAATGCAATTGGCTTATAATTGCTCAGACTGCTTACTTTTTCCACTTTGTCCTTAACAGAGGTGGAAAGTAATGAATTACATTTACTCGCGTTACTGTAATTGAGTAGCTCTTTTGTATATTTATACTTTTTAAGTTGTTTTTAAAATCTGTACTTTTACTTTTATTTGAGTACGTTTTTAGAAAAATTGTAATTCGCTACATTTTAAATCATATCCGTTACTGAGTAAAAATAAATTGTAGGCTTAATAAATTAAAAATATTGCATGTCGCAGCGTCGGAACAGAAAGAGACTCCTGCATGAGCGCCGCGTCCAAACCGTGGGGGACAAACAGCCATTTTATCGCAGTTTTGCTCAAAAACATCAGTTCAGTCCCTGTGATCCACTCGCTGTTCACCTCCTCTCTCCCTCCTCTCCTGTGGGTTGGAACCAGCACCTTTGCGCACCGGTGTGACGTCATCAGAATTGTGCTCGGTTCGGTAACCAGACTCGGTTCTGTGTTTGAAACGTGTTTCCCCACCGCTCCGCACGGCAGCGGCAAAATAACGTTTAGCGCTTCTAACAAGCGGATTCTCAGCGCTGTGCTCATAAAACAGAAGACCTGCAGGCCTCTGTGAGTTAAAACATCCTGATACTGTTCAGGTGTAAACATTGTGCTGCACCTGGCGGTAAGGAGTTTCCTGTTTTCAGTGTTGCACTATGTGTAGCTGTTTGGTGTTTGGGGCTCGCTAAAACACACATTTTCTGTGGTTCCACCTAGCTTTTAGGGAACCATTTGAGTTTGCACGCAGTTTATTTGGTACTGAACAGTTTGCTCGTCCAGTTAGCTTAGCCTCAGCACGGCTATGGCTACTTCTGTCTCTGCTTCTCCATCTCCTATCTCTTGCTCTCTGTGTCAGATGTTTAGTTACTCCTCTGCCTCCTTTAGTGATAATGGTACGTGTAATAAATGTAGCATTTTTGTAGCTTTGGAGGCGAGGGTGTCGGAATTGGAGTCCCGGCTCCGCGCTGTTGAAAAACCTGTAAACAGCCGTAGTTACTTAGCTAGCGCGGGGCTAACTAGCTCAGAACAACCCCGTAGCGGTCCTCCAGTGGAACCCGAGCAGCCGGGACCTCAGGCCGGCTGGGTGACGGTACGAAGGAAGCATAGAACCCAGCCCGTGGGCCACCACCAACCCGTCCACGTTTCTAATAGATTTTCTCCGCTCAGTGACGCACCCACTGACAAGCCGACTCTGATCATTGGCAGCTCCACAGTCAGAAACGTGGCATTAGAGACTCCAGCAACCATAGTTAAATGTTTACCTGGGGCCAGAGCGGGCGACATTAACTCTTACCTGAAACTGCTGGCTAAGGATAAGCGTAAATACAGTAAGATTGTTATTCACGCTGGCGGTAACGACACCCGGTTACGCCAATCGGAGGTCACTAAAATTAATGTTGCTTCGGTGTGTAAGTTTGCAAAAACAATGTCAGACTCCGTAATTTTCTCTGGCCCCCTGCCTGATCAGACCAGTGACGACATGTTTAGCCGCATGCTGTCCTTCGACCGCTGGCTGTCTAGGTGGTGTCCTGAAAACAACGTGGGCTACATTGATAATTGGAAAACTTTTTGGGGAAAATCTGGTCTGATGCGGAGAGACGGCATCCATCCCTCTTTGGATGGTGCAGCTCTTCTTTCTAGGAACATGGCCAGTTTTATTAGTCCTCCATGACAACCCAGGGTCCAGACCAGGAAGCAGAGTCGTAGTTTAACCCACCCCTCTGCAGCTTCTGTACTGTTTTCAGAATAAAGAACGTACTGCCTTCCGGTTGCTTTACTTTAAAAAAAGTTACTAACTGTGCGTCCCCGTGAGAAGTTATCACCTAGCTAGCGGTCTCCTTTGTTTTTCAGGTCCGTATTGGCGATTATAAAACGGACAGAACATAAAACACAAACCATGTTGTAGTTTTCTCCTGCTTGTTGTTGTGTTTACTGACGAAGTCACTCGTGTGACTTCGTGCTCGGTCGGTGACAGCTGCTCTCCTGCTGCTCCGCGTCTCGTG